TTCAAGTAATTTTCTTGATGGACCATTATGGAATCTCAAGTACTTTTCTTGATGAACCACAGTTCGATTTCCAGTTGTTTTCTTGATTAACCACTGTTGGATTTCAGGTACTTTTCTTTATCTTTTCTGAAATCGAAAATTACAAAAAAAGCTAAATTACCGATAAAACCTAACAAGGAAGTTGATATATTATGTGAAGCACTTATAACTTTTTATCTGGTTTTTAATTTTTGTATCCCGTTGACAATTTTTTTTTTACATATTAAATGATTTCACTCATCTGTTATCTGATTGAAACAATCAACAAATTGAAGGTATTGATAAATCTAGTTTCTATATCGTATGATTTTATGTACGTAGTAGTAATTATGATGGACAAACAATGTAAGTATTGATATATGTAAGAGAATGATAGTCCCTTTCTCAATCATTAAGTACGATCAAAATATGAGTTAAATTTAACTTTACAGCCAATATTTTAGTCCATTTCTTTAAATCATATTCTGCTTAATTATGCCAGGAAAATGTTCAAATACAATGTTCAGAATATATTCAAAAGCTAAACTTAATTTCTTTTTTAAAAATGTTATCAGAATTTTATGCATACTATTTTCACAAACTTCAGATCAAGTAATCTGCGTTTTTGAAAGAGTATAGGCTATAAGATTTAGATACAATTTCCTTTCAAAACTTTTTTTTCTTTTTTTCCTTTTTGTATTGTCTTTACATTGTTTATATTTAAATTTTAGTAATTTGAAGCTATCAATACTCTTATGATAGCGTTAACGGTACCTTTTTACTGCACCAGTAAGCGTCAACTAATTTTGATTTTGTTTCTTCAAAATTTATCGTTTAGACACTTTCAATCATACATTCTTTCAAGCTGATAAATGTTCTTCAGGGAAATTTTAAATCATTCATAGAACTGTAAGTAGGCCTTAACAATAGGATAATCCCTTACTAAGAAAATGATTTCATATATTTTTCAAAATTAAAAAACCCTTAATCCTACTATTTCATTGGTCGAAAGTACTTTGCTATATTCTAAGATATATAACGTATTGAGTGTAACGGATAAAGATGACTAATGTTTTGTTTATTATTAATGATTTCACAGGTTGAGGGGTAACGGGAGCGGGATGATATAATAAAAAAACTAGTTCAAACCATTCTCTTTTAATTTTAAAAGTAGAATGAAGGGCACCTGTGTAAACTTTATTGCTGTAGATTCTAGCGTTTATTCGCATATTTTACTTTGTAATAAGGAGATATGAATGGTCTACCATTTTCTAATAATTCCTAAAAATACGTAAGAAAAGCTATCGCCTTCAATTATATTTTGTACTATATCTTTTGTTTTACCAAACAAATCATCACTTTTAGGCATACACAATGTAGCATACCACAACTTTTCAGTTCAAGTTAAAATATATATGCAACTTATATATTTAATGAATGTAGACTTATTTATTGTAAAAATACTAAGTAAAACGTCTACCGGTACCTAAAACAATTGACAAAATGCACAAATAAAATCCTACTTGTGCGTATCTAAATAACAAAATGACTAAAATTAAAATCAACTTAAGAACAAAACTTATCATGAGCGCATTATTGCTTTGAATTCACATTTCTTTTTCTTAGATAGCTTAAGTGGAGAATGAGCCGACCAATATGCGTATACTTCAACACAAGGAATGGATGTAGGAATGGAAATCGATGTAGATTCGTTCACCAAAAAATTGGCTCATTGCATAGACCTAAATGTCGATATTATAGGTACGTAAACATTTGGAATGAAGGTAGAAGGCTCTCCAAAAATTTCTTTTACAGCAGCCACTGTTATTGGTATGGGCTTGACAAAAATTATAATCTACAACAATAGCAAATCAGGATATTCTAATTGGACACTTTCAAATGCTTTTGTTCAACATCGACGTTTAATAACGAATATAATGTTTGCATCTGATCAACGGAATACTTTACAATCTACTTCATCGTCGCAGGTTATTGTAAAGTAACACTGAAACATAAACAAACGATAATACAGGTTTTCTGAGATAAAAACCAGATTTTGACACAAAAAGAGAAGCGAACGATACCAAAGGGGCTTTCAAACTCATAAGTCGAAAATAAATTGACAACGCCATGGCTAAAAAAAAGCAAACAGACAAACAGACAACAGTATGCAAAACACAGCATAGAAAACTAAAGACTAACATCCCATCAAAAACCGAACCCCACCAAAAACTGGAGGAGGGGGGGGGGGGAGGTAATTTCAGTTGTACCGGAAGGGTCAGCAGATATGCTCCATGTGTGGCACCTGTCATGTTATTCGAACAGCTATGATTGATTAATACTCTTCCAAAAAAGTTGGGGTATTTGATGAAACGTAAAAAATGCTTGTCGGATAACTACAAATATTGAAAATAGGTGTCATTCGATTTAAATGGCGCAAAAAAAGATATGTAAGGTCTAAACTTATTTATGAAGAAACTGAAACAGAATTTTATTATAAATCGGAAGGTATGCAAGAGTTTCCGACCGCTACATTTGGGATATGTTTAACATTGATAAAGCGAATATTCAATATAAAAAAAAAATTACTAAAGGACTTTATCTATTGATTAATTGTTTGGTAAAATTTTTTTACATGTATTTATTTGCAAATGAATATAACACTTTTAAATTATTAATTTCGAGCATGCAAAGTGATTTTCTCCGTTTGCTGTCTCCAGGAACGCTTTAACCTAATCATTTGAAAGTGAGAGATGTACAAATGCATAGAAATACATAACAACTGTGCAATATGACAACTTTATTTTATTTTTTTTTCAGGGGACCAGGCACCTGTAAATTTTACGATAACTGTTTTTTCCGTCATGAAGAGTCAGAACCAGATATTCTCGCCACGCAATTACAGAATTTGGCAATATCAGATCAAACGAATGATGAAAGATTTGCCAAAGAGTCCGTGGTTGTTATGGATATCTTTCCAAAAATGACGAGAGAACTCGTACACGACATTATTAATCCAACTGAGCTGTTTCACATGGTACAGAACAGTTCTATTCTGAACAGATTTACACAAAGAGAAAAAGACATGGTTGATAGCCTTGTATCTAATGGGTACAATGAATGCGATGTTGATTTTATCTACAAACTAGTATGGCAATACCTTCCGAAACCTCGTCGTGGGTGGCAAACATTTCCGGAAAACTCCGACTTATCAATAGGTGATGATTTACAAAGAATATCTTTGAGAAGCAAATCATTCTATTCACGACCTCATGTTGAAATATTGGGAGAAGAATTCACCGCTTGTTTCAAAGAATTCAAAGATGTGGCGAAGCGAATCGATATTTTTTTGCAAAAACAAGCAGATGAAACATATCTGTGTAAGATTTCAAATATAGAAAGTAACAAGTTCGACGAAAGCTACATAGAAACCTGTATTGAAAAAGCTCGTAATATTGAAGATATGCAAGGTAATGTAATACAAATATTGGATACATTAACGGAATTTGATACTATATTATGATTATCCTTATAGTTTTTGGTACTTCTTCTATCTGTATTTTATATTTAGTATGATTGGTTACTTCTGCGGGCTACCTTCACTTAAAATGTAATATATGTTATTATATTTTTGATTTATCCAAAGTAATAAAAAAAAAACAAAAAAAAAAAAACAATATCCACAAATGTGGCAGAATGTTCCCGCTTTTTTTTGTTTTGTTTTTTGTTTATCTCAAATGATTCTTGTTTTTAGAAGACAAGTTGGGTGTCCTTTACTTTTAATTATTTCCAGGAGAAAATCATACTAACAACACACTTGTTCAGTTGGTTTAAAGTTCAAGTTATATCAAGTTTATGAATAAGCTTCAAATACGTTAGTTAACTACTTCGATAAATACATATGCCTCGAAGATAAAAATCTTTATTTCTGATAAGGGTAGTCGATTATAATAAAATATCGATAAGATGCAGATTAATGGATACAATATTCAAACAGAACAACTCCAATAATGTGTCTTATACAGTTTTCATTTGATGGCAATTAATCGTATATGTGCTATGCAACAAGCATACTGTACTATCACTTCTACTGTGTACTGATAGATATTTGTTGGACACACATGTTCGTGTATGTTAAAGTTTTACTTTTACTGCGAATTTAAACCGCAAATGCTAAAAGAAGTACGCATTTTTAAATACTTTAATAGAGTTTTTATCTAAGTAACGAAAACAAATATTCACGAAAATCATAATGTTTTTCAATCTATGAAAATTATTGTTGAATAGACATGAATCCACAGTACTCAATTCGAAGAGAATCCAGATTATACTGTATATGATCATTTCTTTCAGTCAGTAGCACGTGCAGAAGAAATGAAACCTCTATCAATCTTTACATCGGAAGATCTGGGAGAAAGTGTATAGATCGTATCTTAAAAGGAGGCAAGTCATACAGTTCTTTTTCTAAATTTATTCCTCATATTTTCTTTTTCAAACTTTCAAAATATACAATGGTTTAACGTTCATCGGAAAATGCCTGTACCAAGTCAAGAATATAATATGACGTTTGTTGTCCATTTTTTCCGTTGGTTGATAAAGTCTTACGTTTGATATGGTTATTTGTTTTATGGACCTTCCCTTTTCAAGGGCATAGTAAACTAAAACTAATTTAAATGTATGTTTGAAAAATATAAGCTTCTAATAAAAAGACATAACGATAAACAGATCTTTTCAATAAAATTGTGGTGCAAACAAAGTATAGTAGAATATTGTAGCAGTTAAACATTGATTTATCAAAACTTATGAATGAAATAGCTTTCGTTGATAACCTCAAAACCAACGACACTGCATTATAACTGGGATAAAAATAACAATAGGAAGTTGATAATGATTATAATGATTTTAGTTATAATATTGATAATGACATGTTATTATCACATGAAACTTATAAATTATTTTATCTATCAATTTAGGGTCAGGAGTGGAAATGATGAATTTGATTGTAACAGGAGTGATTAAGGAAAATGAAGTTGCTGAGAGGTTTTTAAAAGCGAATTCCAGTGAAGAACTGTTTCAGACTAAAATTGACGATATTCAGCCAAATCGTGTTGTTTTGATGATAAAAGTCAACGGACAAGAATTCCAATCTAACGACCAATTTATAGAGAAAATGCTCAAATTCTTAGTCAATGTTTTGATACCTGAAGAAGAGAATGGATTTCCAAATTTGATAATTGACACCGTCATTATTGGTTTTGCCGATAGAATAACCCTAGGTATTTTATATCACATATTATTTTTTTATGACGTATGACTTGAGAACCGAAGTATAACATATATTTTTTTTGTTTCCTGAGCAACCGTGAGTTCTAATATAAGAGAAGGACCTATTGATCCTTTCATGAACACCTGAATTCCCCTAATTTTTCAGTGAGGTTTGGGTTGCTAAACCTTAGTTTTTAGTATTGTGTTTTGATAGTGTGTTCGGACCTGTTTGCCTTATCGTCATGTTGTTAGTTTGTTTGTTTGTACGATTGTTTGTATGTTTGTGGTATTAGCTAAAGATCTTAGTTTATATGCCGATTACATTTCCTTCCGTCCACTGTTTTAATTGTTTTGTGATAACAATTCAAATAATATAAGTGACATATATAACCTTGCATCTTTTCCAAATTCTGATTTAAAAAAATCTGAAAGAGCAAACCGAATTTTTTCTATGCTACTAAATTTGTATTTACTATCATAGAAACTAAATCAACAGTACACCCCCAATGTTTAATTACTGTGGATTCATTTGTTTTCGTTAGTACCAATTGTTGTGGATTGAGGACAACTTATATGTTCGTGAATATTTGATTTCGTGGTTTTGTCGATGTCTGCATATAAGCCTTTCGAAAATTTGTCTTTCGTTGATTATTTAATTTCGTGGTTCACCCATAGCCACTAAATCCACGAAAATTAGTATCCAACGAAAAATAATGAATCCACAGTATCATAAATCGTTTTGAAAGATACAGATCAAGATGACAAACAATAACTGAGGAAGTCGCATGACAGGGTAAAATCGAATTTGTCATTCGAGTGTCGACTACAGTACAATACATTAGTTTCAGTAAATATGATACGCTCATAAGTCATTGACTCGGTACTGCCAAGTTTTATAACATACTTTTTACAAAATTTCCCGGAATTGATTTTGAAATTATCTTGAAAGTAATGTTCCAATTCTCTGTAGCAGCTAATCTTAAATGAACGTGTCTCTTCGTGCTAGGTACCTTTAGAATCATTGCTCCTAATATATCAACTTCCCATATGTTTATTACGTCACAGTAACATCAGACATAGTATACAAATAACAAAAATAACATATATTTTATAAATACTCAATAAACACTGTATTGAGATATACCGGAATGCTCCCGTGAAGGATTTATTATGTTCGATTTGTATGTTAAAAGATGTGATTTCATCATGTTTTTACTAATATTTATATTTTAGAAAATCCACCATCACAGGAGGAACTTGTCAAATATGCGCAAAGAGCTGAGAGATATAACTTGTTTCTGTCCGTAAGTCTCAACAGAAAATTCGATTTGAAATCTAAAGATGATGGTTATTTGGACATTTCAGATTGTACCATTCTATGCAAGAAAATGGTGTTCACGGATAGTAAAGGATTACTTATTTATGATAAAACCAATGACGATATTGATTATATACCTCTGCCAGAAAAAACACGTTATGTAACAGAAATAGACAACGATACTGTCGCAGTATCATCGGAATGGAACTGGAATATCAAGATTATAAGTTTGACAACTAAGCAAGTATCCATTTCAATAGAAACAAGCGGTTATTGCTATGGTGTTTCATTTTATGAGAACAAGCTATATGCCGCTTTCAAAAATGGTAATAAAGTTGATGTCCAAGTTATAGATCGCGATAGTAAGAACGAATATCAAAGTAGAAACGTCTTACTAATTTATTCCGATAGTGTACGTTATATAACAGTCAACGGTGGTAAGTTATTCTACACGGCCGAATCTATTTTGTACTGCTGTGAGTTGAATGGAAAAATTCAATGGCAGTTTTCTGATGAAAAATATTCATGTTTGCTAGGTGTCACGAGTGATGGATATGGAAATGCCTTTGTGTCTTGTTTGAGTGCCCATGCTGTCTTATTAGTTTCAGGTGGTGGGAAAAAATGCAGAGAAATTCTGAATAGGTCTAATGGATTGACACTTCCAAGAGGAATTCATTTTGCCAAACACGAAAAATTACTTCTTGTCTGTAATAGCATCGGTAAAGTGTCCATAGTTGATGCTAGATAATCAGGCTTACAAAGCGTAGATAATTTCAGAATGTGAAGACAATTTCATGGTGCAGTACAAAACCAATTGAATAACTTGTAAATAATCTCAAAAGTCAAAATGTTTCCTATATTAAATACATTATCATGATGATCCTTTACATTTGTGGATCAATTTAGTACATTTGTAATCTTTATATATATGTTACAACACATTATGGAAAATTTCAAGACTGTCTGCTCTTAAATACCATTCATGAAAAAAAGCTATTCCAAGACTGAAGGAAAGTGGCTTTTGATGTTTTATAATTTGGTAATACAAAATGATGATTATTCAAGAATGAGCAGCCAAATATACAATTGCGTTTGCTAATAATTGCTTATTTCCACTTTATTTAAACTTCGTTGTATAGTTGTGTCATTGTCAGTCCTACCACATCTTCTAATTTTCATTATGTCACGTTAATATGAAATCATTAATATAACTTGTATATCATTCCAAAAAAAGCAAGATTTTCCTAGGTTATACTTTCATATTTTGAATAACAAATTGCATTATTACAGTTTATTTGTAAAAGTAATTTATAAAATCAGGGATTTTGTAAAATTACTAATATTTCAGGGATTTTGTATAATCACTAAACTGATTTGTGGTTCTATTAAAGCTCTGATTTTTCCTAGAGATTTTAAAAATCACTGAAATAATTAGGATTTTCTTTACAGATTCCCTAATTCAATTTCAAGGAATTCAAAACAAAAAAAAAATAGTTTGGATCCTAAACTAGAAACAAGTTTGAACACATTGATTCTCTGTTTTTGAGTCCGTCAGCTGTATCTATTGGACAATTCAATATGTTTTCGTCATGTAGTTAAACTGTCTTTAATTAGTGATGGACAAGGTTTTTCCAAATGTAGCTCAGTAGATGTCATCCAAATTTATCATGCATGTCTTTCATTCATAATCAATGTAAAATAGTTTAAACTAAAAGTGTTTATTTTAAAAAATGTATTTCAAAAATCATAGATCTATTCAAAATAAGAAAAAAACACATTTCTAAGCGCAAGTTTGGACTTGGAATATGGAATTGTACAAATAAGCTATTTTATAAAATCACTGAAACTGTTAGAAATTTTACAAAATCACCAAATATTCCAGGAATTTTACAAAGACCCTGATTTCACAAATTCACTGTAAAAATATGTATATGTATATATACAGGTACATTTCTGTTTAAAAGCATCCTGGTAAATTGAAATGCGAGTCTTTATGCTATGAAATATCGTACATGTTTAGCTTAATTCTATAGAAAAATTATATTTGAGCGTGTTATTTTGTTTGTAACCCTCCGCAGTCTTACTTTAGTATACAAAAATATGTTGAATTTGAATGATTAGCAAAAAAAGGTTATCTTCTAATGAAGATTGAGAACAATTTCTGGAGAAGATTTTTGTAAACTTACTAAACATTGTCTTGTTTTAGCAAAACATAATCATGATAGAACTGGTATTGTTGCAGATATAAAGCAAAACCGTTTGCGTTGTGTGTGTCTAAGATACCAAAGACGATCTCGTTTAGCGAAATATATTTTTTGCTATATCTCGCAAACATAAGCCCGCAGTAGATCTATAAGTTGAGTTTGTATTTCTTATTCTCTTTATCGGACATTAATAATAAGTCAAACCCCTTAACATCAGGGTTTTCTAAAAAGTGTCGAGGGATTCCAGGGAATTAGCATCATTAAGTGTATTGGGACCTTTCCAGTTTTGTAGTCTTTAAAGGTTTATCGTTCCATTGTCCTGTAATAATAGTTTCAATGCAACCAAGTGTTTGTTGAAAATAATTGGATACATCTTTCCTAAAATGTGACCTACCGAATTAGACTTATAAAACTTGATTACGACATGGACAGCAACACGACGGGTGCCACATGTAGGGCATGATCTACCTAAAAGAGGGGCGAAAGATACTTACTTTCCCGGCACACATTAAGTCACCCAACGTTTTTGCTGTGGTTTGTGTTGCTCAGTCTTTTCCCCCATGTTTTGTTTTGTGTACAGTTGTTCTTTTCTTTTTATACAAGGCATTGTCAGTTTATTTTCGACTTATACGTTTGAATGTTTCTTTGATTTTGGTAACTGACGCTTTTCTTTTTCTGTAAACTTGAAAGTTTCAATTTTCTGTTGCATGGAGAGTTTACGATAAACTTTGTCAACAGGGAACCCAAGTAAATATGAAATGCAAACACAAATTATTTGTGTAAATTGAAATAAAAATGACTGATTTCATTTTATATAAAAAAAATGTTTCTGATTGGTTACTTATAATTAAGCTGAAAACTATATTGTTTTAATCTCAGTGACTTTGATCCATTTGCACTTGATTTAATCACTAATTGAACAAATTCGTAATAAACGTTTGGAAAAAAAACTTTCTTGTTATGTGTTTGAATAATGATAAACATTGTAAAATTTCTTATGTGTAACGTTTTTTCTCAGTATCTCCACTTGTGTTGGTTTATTCCACAGTGACTAGAAATGTATGCGAAAGGTTGAGATCATACAAAACATGTCTTATAACGCCGCATGTTTGTGCTGGTCCCAAGTCAGGGACCTATGGCTTTTGATAGTCTTGTGTATTTTTTTTTTTAAGATTTAGTTCATTTGTATGTTTCGAAGTGTAGTTCAGCGTCCTATTCACTGAAATAGTATACATTACTGTTTATTGACCAGCTTAAGCTGCATAAGGTGCAAGATTTTCTCGCTGCGTTGAAGACCAACAGGTGGTCTTCGGAAGTTTTCTGCTCTCTGGTCGGTTTGTTATTGATTTGACACAATCCATGTTTCAATTTGTATTTAATTCACTATACGGACGTCAATATTGAGCCAAACCAAACCTTATATTTAGATATAGGAAGTCGAGAACGGTTGTATACTTCATATGTTAGCACAGTTATCGCAAAACACAACTTACAACAGTTACTGGATAACATGCTTCTGACTTGGATAGTCAGATGAAACAGGACAAAAGATCACGCTATCTTTAACGGTCGTTATAGTCAAAACATTTCAAAGTGGTTATCATTCCATTAAGCTTATCAGAGAACATTCATAAATTATATGCCAGTCTTTCTTCTTAAAGTTATGTTTTGTTTAAGTTTAGCTTGAACTAAGTAGTTTTTGAGATTAGAGAATACATGTACATTTATATAAAACTCAGATAGGAAACGTTCTAGTATGAACATGTACCCTAGTAACTGACAGAGTTTATAAAATATAGGCTGGAGCATGTGAATTGTTTCTGCTCAGCAATGACATGTCAACTGGAAATATGAAAGCATAACTTATATCATGTTTGTCAAAGAAACAAGTGTTTAGTTGAACTTCATAAAATTTTTGAAGAAAACAGTAATGTCGTAGGTTGCAAGCATTTTTAAAGGGAACTTATTTGATTTAGATACTCATAAACCATAAACTGCAAAACTATGACAAAATTCAAATGCTATAGTGAAACTTTTGTATTGATACTGTTTGCCTTCGTTTGAATATTGTCAATAAATTAAAAAAAAAAATATTATTATAAAAGACAAATGGAGTCTTGCACCAAGCATGGATATGATTGCCAATGAGACAACTATCTACACATATGAAACAACAAAGATTTAAACAATTACATGATTCAATCCGGCATTCACAAACCTATAAATTACGGTAAGTTAACTACATACTGGAAATACATTGTTGTGTCTTATTTTCACAGCGTTGGTGAATACTTCGCTATGGGATAAAAATATTTTGTCAACTAACTATAAAGTATGGGTAGGGATCATTGTTAGAGACAACACAGTGACCCGTTTATACCTACTTTTTCTGATTTTTTTTGGTTCAATTTGCAAGAATATTACATCTATTATTTTTATTCTTACATAGAAGAACACAAATTTGTAAAACGTTCGTGTTCTTCGTATTTATTATTGCATTCAAGCAAAAATAAATTAACTTTAATAAATGGTGTATGATTAGAAATATATATGAACTATTTTTTGTAGAGTCTAGTGTTAAATATAAGTCAACACACCACTTGGCAACATGCTTATAACCTGCCAACTTGCTTATGCATTGCGATGAAAAATTTCTGAATGTATTTAGTCCGAAAAAATATTTATTCTAAGGGAATTGAATCTCCATTATATCTCCTCTTCAAACCTTCGTGGTACTTTTCGAGTCGTGATTACTTTACACTGGGCCGTTGATAACAACAAAAGCTTTCGTGGATAATTTAATGTGCAAAGAAACCAAGCAATGTACAGTAGAAAAAGAAATAATAAGAAAAAACAACAACAAATAACAGATGATTATCATATTTGTAATATTAGCATGAAACGTACATTATGTGTTGAAAAAAAAAAACATTTCATATTTTTTCTTGTGTACGCTTAATAACTTTGCCTTAACAAGTGAATGCGGTCAGTTGTGTTTAATGCAAATGAACTGATGTAAGGCTTATAAATGAAAAAAATCCCCAAATTATATGCACTGACTAAACATTTGCTTTCAGTTCTTTTAAACTTTTTTCGGACTTTGTATCTTCTTTGGAAAAGATGACAGTTCTCATTTGAAATTATAAGAAGAACCATTTCGAAAAATGCCAAGCACCGTCTGAATCTTGCAATAAAGATTAGTTAAATCGTAGGGAATTGTGTTTTTTTACAGGCCCACTAAACAATTGTTTATTCTTCAAATCATAGGGAAAAGTTAATTTCTGCCTTTTTGGCTGGGGAGAAAATTCCATAAAAAGCTTGCACAAATAATTGAATGTATAATATATAACTAAAACAATACAACATACAGTAGGTTTCCATATATGTAGTATTGAAATGTTACTTGCATTTTGTGCTTCAAAACATTTGTCTTCTTTTTTAATTCGATTCATTTTTTGCCATGTTTTCAATTTGAAAGACTCAAAAAGATGAAACAAACGCAGTCAATTTATATAGAAAATAACCTGTTAGTCAACAGAACAAGTTCCATTTGTTCAAACTATCTGTTGTTTGGCAACTTAAAGAAAACCAGCTTATCATTAGTTTTTGTTATGAAAAAGAGACTATTCAGAGAATCCTGAAAATAATACTTACAAGTTCTAAAGTCAGTTGCGTTTGGTTAAGAAGGATTACTGAACAAAATATGTCTGTGTGACTATCACTTATAAAATAAAATCATATGCATAATAAAGGCCCTTCAACTACTTTAATAAAACCTTTACAGTTTTCTAATATTTAATGTTATTAAAAAATGAGTTATTCATGTCATTTCTGAGTATCGTTAATAGTAATTTATAATTGAATTGATGCAGTACTTTCTGTTTTTGTATTCTATTCCCGCAGTCGTAATACTTCTATTACAAAATCTACCCCTCACCTCCAAAAAAAAACTAAAGATATGGAGTTAAAAAAAACCAACTACAAATATACATCTACCCAGCTTTAAGCCTCTTCCGAACATTTGAAAGTCCCTACTATGTACTGGTTATCTAAATTGCACAAAAAAACCATTTAAAATTCCGTTTCATCTCCGCATCTAGTAAGTGATCTACTACCAATCTATCAGTGCTTCTAACTACCTCCCTTACTACTATGAAAGAACTTGTTATTAACTTTTGTAATAAGCTTATGAAAATAATAGTATTAATTATTTTTGGAGTGTTAAAAATTCTTTAGAGGTTTTAGATAAAATACATGCTTTTGATGGTCCTTTTAATTCTGTTGACAGTTATGATTTTTCTACTCTCTATACTACACTTCCACACAATCTTATCAAGAAACAGTTTTCATATTTAATTAAATGGTCTTTCGAAAAATCTCATTACAAATTTATTTGCTGTAACTCGTTTAAAGCCTTTTTCTGTAACGAAAAAGGAAAGTATGCTCGATACACTTACTGGAAATGTAAAGATATGATTGGAGCTTTAAATTTTCTTCTGGACAACATATATGTACGTTTCGGCGATAAAGTGTATCGACAAGTAGTAGGTATTCCTATGGGCACTAACTGCACCCCTTTCATAGCAGATTTATTCCTGTATTGCTATGAATCTCAGTATATGACCAAAATCAGTAAAGTAAACATTTACCCAATAGAACTTACTTTAACCAAATCTAACATAAACAGCAGTAGTTGTCCTTTTCTGGATTTGGACAATTCAATCTCTAAAGGAAAACTCCATACGAAAATTTACGACAAAAGAGACGATTTTTCATTCCCTATTGTTAATTTTCCTTTTTTAGACGGCGATGTTCCTTTGGCTCCATCATACGGTGTTTATATATCCCAACTCGTTCGTTATGACCGTGTGTGTAGTGATGTCATATAGATTTTAACGAACGTAATCAATGCATCACTGGTAAATTATTAAATCAGGGATTTCGTTACCATAAATTACGTAAAACTTTTGCTAAGTTCTTTCATAGATACAAAGATTTGATTAGTAAATTTGGCTGCACTTGTAGAAAACTGATTAAAAACGGTATTTCACATCCTAAATTTTACGGTAATATTGTACTTAAAGCGCGGAAATCACTATGTGATCCGTGTAAACTCATCGAACCTTTAAACAAACTTATTAGTAAAGTTTATCTTACCAATGTTGTAATTAGATCATTGAATATAGTTTACATCGGCACTAATATCGATTTTGTCATCAGCAAATTAAAACATAACTAAATTTGTATTCTTTTCAAACGGGATGTATAAAGACACACCCACGTTCGTTTTGATCTATAAAGAGGTTAAACTCCTAACTATCCTACTGTCTGTCGATACATTTATTTTTGGCATTGCACTAGTCATGTCTTCTTTGACTGTCCATGACGTTAAAATACTAAATCCCTGGGATGTATTTTAGTTGATTTTAGTTTCTAAGGCATGATTTTTTATTATTAATTGTTTTGGCTTTTAACTAGCTGTCAGTAACTGCGAGTACTCTCAAATCGTACTTTCTTGTTTATTTGACCTGTTGATAATAATTGTATTGCTTTTTTGTTATTTAATGTTATTCAGGGTTATATCTGGTCTATATACCAGCTTTGATAAGTGTTTTATATTACTATAAATTTTCACTTCGTACTATGAACATCAAAATTATTTATTTTGTAAAAACATTTCCTTTCTCTATTGAAACTGTACTTGTATACCTAACAACAAAACTATTTTCATTTACCTGTGTTTAAAGTTATTGCAAATGGCTGATATTTTTGTTCGAGCATATTGTTTTTCTTTAATTGTTCAACATTTCATACCGATATAACATGTTACTTTTATTATTCTTCCCTTAGTTTATTTATTTTGTATTTACATTGTATCATAGGTCAAATTTATTTGTTCAGTGTATGTTCAATGGTGTTAATATGTCCTTTGATTGAGTTAAGCTATTTCAGTTGATATTTTATAGTGTGTCTTTCTATGTTGTAATGTTACAC